AATAATCTCAACTGCTTACTTTGATTGTGTGATGTTATTATATATCACAGCGAAGTTATCCGAATGTTTATATATTATCAGGCCTTAACCTAGAATTGTTAAATTATAAGGGAAACAAAATGATATTGTATTATAACTTTTAAGTATGTTTTTATGTTTTTACTAACGAATATGAGAATAGCATTCTTCAATGTTGTTATATACATATCACAGATGATATTCGTGCTTATGATAATGTTACTCAACAGAAGTAAATAACAATCGAATTCATAACTATAATATATGATAAAACATGATATTATAAGCTTTTTAAGTTATTGCTTATGTTTTTATTACAAAAAAACAAAAATTAAAATGCATTATTCTGACTGTTGTAAAATATCAATCACATGATGTTATATTCGATGTATCTCAAAACTCTACATTATTCAAATTATAACCTTAAAATATTTTAAATAGCAGCAAAAATATTAAATTATGGGAAAAAACGAGCATTGTAAGCTTTAATATATATTTAGGTATTCTGATTCGTTTACAAAAAATAAAACAAAACAGCATAAACATTTTTCGCCACCCCCCCCGCGCCGATGTTTGTGATAATTTGCATGACACTGCTATTCTCCACCCCAATCAATACTTCGACCTTTACAAGCTTCCCTTCCGCCCTACCTACCCAGGCCCCGCCAAGTGGCTGCAGGCCATGGCTCACTATCATATTTAAAGTTATCGGATGTAAATATATTAGTCAACTAATGTGTATAACTTATAGAACTTTTGTTTGACTATTTCTGCATCTTCTAATACTTGATACATGCATTATTTATTCCATGTTGTTTCAGTCTTCCGCTATACTGACAGTACAATATTTTAGCTTATACTTTCATGCTTTATTTTACTGGAAAAAAAAAAAAAAACTTTTCGAACATTTATAACACTTCATTGGACTATTTGTAATCGTGACGGTGGATCGGGGATTCACCTGGAAATCCCCTTTCAGGTATTCAGACACCGTCCCCAGTTTGTGCTGAACAAGAAAGCCCCTTAAGTCTCTCCTAACAATGCTGTTTAAACATAGCTTTAATCAGACTTCACAACTCGAAAACACTGCAGACTTTTTAAAGTAAAATATTATTTTTTTGCCTGAATTACACAAATTGCCACCTGATGGTCTACATGGCCTACTTCACACAAATTAGTGTGCATAAACACTACTCATTCTTCAGCGAACCTCAACGCCGAATTCCATTGACATCTTTTGTGCGCCGCGGATGTGCGTAGCGCCCAAGATGAGCAATTCGCAATTTAAAAATCAAGGTGGTCCATCGGATTTTGCTTCCGCTAGGGTGAGCGCCAGAAAAGTTGATAGGTTTAAATCTTTTATGTGCGTCGGCCACTTTGAAAGAAGCACTTGGACTATTGCAATGCTCATTGGGCGCTTACGGCCCGCGCGGCGCGCACAAGGAAATGTCAAATGGAGACATACATCGGCCTTAAAGCCGGTCGGACCTTGTGAATCATAACTGAACAGCCACAGAATTTATAAGCATAGGTGTTGCTTTGAATGATCTAATCTACCCATTCATAAGGAATGTCTTACCGTACCAGCACTTTATAACAGACCAAGTTAAACCAGCAATCTTCTTTGAGTTAAATATTCTTGTAAACCTAAATGGGCCTAGAAATCAGAATACATATGACTTTTACGGACTGTGAAACAAGCTTTAAGCCGTGAAACCTCGGAGTAGCATCGTTAAAACCTTCCCTGTTCATATATAAAAACCCAAAAGCATGAGTACAGCTCACTTTTACACATCGAAACACTTTACGACAGCAAGATACAGTAAATCTTCTTCAGTCAATATGTCTTTGTACCATGAATGTTTATAAACAAGCAATACACAAGTGTCTGATGGTCACACTTGAAGTCTCAGTGGTTGAACTCTCAGTGTAACCGTCCTTCTTACATGTTTGTACGGCATCGAGTACTCAAAACAGAGCCAGTTAGCAATAATCCTCTTCAATTTAATGATGTGCGTGTACATGAATTGTTATTAATAGCATTCCAAAATGCCTGGGGATCACGGTTAAAGCGTAAACCCAGGGCTACAACTATAGGAACCGTCCTGTTCATATACAAAAACCCGGGCAAAACCTGATTTTTTTACCAAAAGTTTTTTCCCTACACGGCATCAAGTACTACATCCCAGACCAGTTACTATTAATCTTTCTTATTCAAATATGTCTTGCACATGAAGTTGTTTATTAACAAGCATACACAACTCCTGTGTGATCACATTAGCTTAGTTGAAACACCAGAGTTGCGACTATTTAGAGCCGTCTCCTGTTCTACATATATTTGTACGGCAACGAGTACATTTAAAAAACAGACCAGTTATAGTTCAATTCATTAGTCAATATTTGCCTTTTATAGTTGAGGCGCATATTGCCTTGCACATTATTTATTAAAATTCTATACTAATAAGCCTACAACATTGCCTGATAAGTGGCTTCAAGCGTTTAGACTCAATAGTTTCAAACTTAGAAACTGTCCTCTATCTACACACCAAAATTTGTACAGTCTATACGCATCCCAAGTACAATTAAAAACGAGACCAAATTTGGATTAATTTAATTTCTCATTATTCCAACCATGCTTTAATGTAAAATAGTGTATAATAAAGTATTATAATTTAATTAAATAATTTGTTTTACAGTTGGCGCCTTTTACTAGATGAAGTTAATAGCATTACAATGGAAGGCTAGTAAACGGTCAAACAATTTATGAAGAATGATGTATAAAATTGAATATGATGTTACATTTAAAATGTTTAAGGAATAAATATTCTAATAAACTAACCCAGATGTAACGATAAGGTTCTGTTAGGAAAGTGAGGGTGAAGAACCATTAATAAGCAGCTCGTTTTTGATGGAGCTTAGCTATAGATCCACTGCTGATCAGTTGGGCTAGGCCAAAGGCCTGAAAGCCCGAACAAGTAACACTCTAAGATCTACTCCTTCTCTGAACTTCTAATATTCAACAGAAAGACTAACTTATATCGTGATCACACATACTAATAAAAATTAACGGAAGTCTAATTAACCAAGACAATACGAGCTCACACTACATGTTGAAAGACAACACCATTTGCCATACAGAGACGTTCATAACACAACAGGACCTTATCAAACATGTGACTTTTAACACGCAACGGTGAAAAAACATTACTAAATATTAGATATGAAAAATCCAAACCGTTTAACACCAGCAATAACATATTTACATATCTACATGCGCATTTACAGGCGTGTGCTCTGATTCTTTTTTAAATGTATGCCAATGAATTGGGACTCTCTTATTAATGTTAAGGTAGTGTTGCCACAGGCTTTAGACCTAACTGTAGACTGTATTTTAGACCTAACTGTATGGTGAGGTGTCAGTTTATCAAAATCGCCAACAGTTTCATTGATCCAATTCTTGTTTTCAGTGATCTGATTTATTGTACCTTATTGTGCTATACAATTTTCCCACAGGTATCACCATTGTGTAAATCACTACCACATTGTACAATGCGTTCTATTTTATATTCCACAGTGTACCAGAGTAGAATTTTTTCTTACTGAGTCAATTCCTCCCTGTTTTTAACTAGGATGGGCTCACGTCCGGCATCAGGTCTATGAAAATGGGGGCCAAGGGATAATTTTAACAACCCCATAACAAAAGAATTTCAAAAAAGGCCTATCTGTTTTGCAAAGAAGTAGTCGGGGCGTCCATGCCTCCCTTGTAGAATCCAGTTATAGGTTTATCACACCAAATTTTCCTGAAAATCTTTGGCAGTTCTAAACGTGAGTGTGATTGGTAAAAACGGGGTTAATTGATTCTGATTTGCGTATCTTTGGCCTACATGTTTATGTGGTTGTAGACCCAAAGTGTAACTCTTAAGGGGAGGACTAATACAAGTGGAGTCTGATCAGTGTGCTACTTTCATAAGAGCATTCGAGGCTGGCACGTGTTTGAACTGCGAGCAAAGTATAAAAACAACTATTACAGAGACCACGAAATTTCGTTAACAAATGCAGTGACTACGTCGGAATGAAATCATGTTGAAGGGGGGGGGTGGGGGCTGGGCTATTTGTTCTTTCTCATTTCAGCTGCACCTGTAATAAAAGCAAAACATACCACACGTTTAAACATAAAAAAAAAGAAACATAAATTATTGAGGGCGTCCAAGCCCCTGACAACTAATTAGTTAAATGCTCATAAAGAAGAAATTTCTACTAAAATAAACGAGGTCTTTTAAGAATGTCTTCTTTATAACCCCCCCCCCCCCTCGAATAAGCCCCCATCCAAAAATATTAAAAATAAATAAGCCCCCAGGGGGGCTAATTCGAGGATAATATCAGTATCATGTTATACTAGAATGCCAGTTTTTCACCCTCAAGCGCAAAGGCGTACGAGGTGAGTTCCGGAAGGGGGGGGCTGAAATTTTTTTGCTCGAAAAATGATAACGCCCAACATTTTAACGAGTATACTTTAACACATGTGAGCTTCTAATATTAGTCAAGAAATGATTAAAATGCAACGTAATTAAAATAATGCTAACTAATAAGCATTTTTAAAACTTTTTTAATTGAAATAAGAGAATCTTTTCCACGACAGAGACCAAATATATCGATTATTTTATCGATATCTTTTTGTGAACATAATTTGCATCATTTTAAGCAATTCGCACACATTTTGCTTACCTGTCTATTCTTGTGATTGTTCTCTATCGTACGCCTATGCTCAAGCGTTTCTAAACTAAAGTGCAATGTTTAATAGCATTGCGGTTCTCTTTTGCTCAGACGTGTACTCATTTTTAACCTTTGTTGCCACTGAGCATCACAAACATTTTATTTCAGGAAATAGATTCCTGTCCACATCAATGAAACTTTCAAGCATACATGTAAAAATGTAATGAACAAATTACTGAACTTCTACATACATTCTTTGACCCATCACTTCCTTCCTCTTCTGCTTTAGAGAATTGTTTTGGTTTAGCTGACAACTTTCTCAACTGTCAAATAATGACATCAAGTGGTTACTAATAAATATTAAATAGATCACAATTATGCCAAAGAAAGCACGTTCCTACAGAAGAAATAACTAAAGGCTCTACACAAATATTTCTGAAGAAGCTAGCATTCATTATGACATTTATATCTATAATTTAGAACTGAACAGAGAGAGGCTAATCTTTTATACTGGCTTACATTTGTCTAGATGATATATCATAAAGCACTTTAAACATATAAATATTAATATCAAGTAAATAATGAAAAAGCAATGCAGTTTATGGTTAGGGTTATACCCTAACCACTGCAATAAATTTATATTGAAATCTCAAAATGTCCTTATTCACCTTAGTTTCAAGCTTATTGACCTCGTTCTGCATCTGCCTACACTTAGTCTTACCACTTTCAACTTCAACATTGAGTTCTCTGTTCTTTTTAGAAAGTTCTATAATTTTTTGGGCAACATTTTCTGAGCCAATATTCTGTCCTGAAATAAGAAACATTCAAACACCAATGATGAGAAATTAATCATCAAATAACTTATCAAGATGCTAAATAATCAATCAAGAGAATTTTCAGTAAGAGAAACTTACCACTTGGACCAAATTTAGCATCAAATTTTTAAAAAGGGGAGTAATTGATTAAAGCAATATGATAATTGAGGATAAAAACAAAAATCAAATTTATATTAAAGTTTCCTATAGAGAATTCCTTTTTGGATTATAGAAAATTATTTTTCAACAAGCTTTTTCTTGAATCTACACACTTGAAATGTAAAGAAGTATTAATGGGGATGATACCTTACAAAGTGTTTTCTTGGTGATTGGGAAAATTAACAAGCAAAGGGTCAGTTTATTAGGCAAAATAGGCATACCAGTTAGGTCTTTCTTTTCATTTTGCCATCTCCTTTTGAAAATTTTCATCTCTTCATCTTTTTCTCCCAGGAGTTTATGGAGCCTTCCATTTTCATCTTTTAGCTCCTTGAGGAAAAATACAAAATCAAAAACAGTAAGAGCTTCTAATAAATAAAATTATTCTATATAGCAGAATTTAAAGCCTTTGGGTTTCTTAGAAAATCATCGATTCTGTATAACAGAATTTAATGACTGAAAATTTCTGTTAAAAACACTCTTTGAATTAAATGTAATGTTGATGATTATCTTGTTTTGGAAGGATAAAAAGCATTAACATTCAGGAAAAAAAGAAACAGCATCTTGTTGTTTTTATAAAAAACATTTGCAATAACTTTGGAAAATAACATATCAATCATGGCAAGGAAAGCTTTATTTGCCAGTTTTTATTTACAGTGAGAGCTAAGCTTAATAAACATTGAGATGAAATTATGAAACTTGCTAGTGTATCAAGAATAGGTTAAATGCAACTAAATATATTCACGATTTCGCATATATTCTTTGGCAAAATGCTGAAAAATTAGCTTTGGAATGTACCTTTCTAAATTTTTTAAATATATTTGTAAACAAAAAAGAATGACTTTCACCTTTTTACAGATCTTCCTTTCAGAATGCTTTGGCAAGCATCTCTGAGTTAAAAACTTTATTATTTTTGGGGCATCCAAAATGTTGTGCTTCATTCATTGTAATTGTATTCAAATTTGTAATTGTATATGTATAAAATCAACAATAATATTTATATTTTGTTATAAATGCTACTATTCAAGCTTACTCTTATAGTTTCTCCCATGTCCTCTGAATCTGAATTGTCTTGTAAAGCCAGCTGATTATTAAAAATATCCTAGAAAAATCTAGAAAATGTCAACACCATTCTTCAAATTTCCCAACAACTGTTGGAAAACTTAATGCTCTCAAAAATATGACCAAAGATAGAAAAAAGTACAACTGATTTCTAAAATCTTCTTCATTTGTAAAAAAGCACTTCATTCCTACAGTATATTTGATCTGACATTCAAGATCTTTCTTTGATGTACCATTTAAAAAGAACTTTTCATACATTTTACCATAAAACTGAAAGTATCATTTTGCCAGCTGAAAATGTACCTTATTCTGATGCCTGACTGAAAGTAGACTTCACATCTATACCAAAAATTAGTAAAACACTAGAACCCTAAAATCACTAAAAGCTGATAATTGCACTGAAACTTAACAGCTTCTCAGTGGTGTCGTTGCTGAAACGCAGGAGGGGGGGGGCATGGCCTCTGCTTTCAAAATTTGATGGCTTTTTGGAAAAATCATTGATTTATCAGAAAAGTCTCAAACTTGAGCTGTGGGTAATTCTCAAACTTTTAGCACCATAAATTACTTGGACTAAAGTACTTACTGAATTTTGAGGGGCAATTATTCACTTCTGTATAGAAAATACTAGGTTTCCACAAATCACAATGATTTCTCAAGATTTACATATTTCTACCATAGAGTGATTTGCTGCTCAGATTTTGTCAGCTAAAATCTGAATTTTCAAGGGCCAAATTTGGTTATGGAAATTGGTCAATATTAGTCATAAAACCAGATTTTTGAAAATTTTGTCCCAGATCTAAAAATTTATGGAGTTCTTTTGCCTTAGGTAAAACAAGGAAGAAGTCGATCAAAATCATTGCATCCCCCAGTGGATATTCAATTTAAGAATAAGATTTTATTATTGAAATTTGCTTCAAAGAATGCAATTTTTGGCAAATTTGAAGCACTAGATTATAAAAAAGTTTTTCCCTTCAGTGGCAACCATGGTGCTACCTCACAGAGAAATTTTATTTCAGCCTTGTCCTAATCTACAGATGTCAGGGACGTTCACAGTAGGTATGAAGAAACAGAGACAAATATAAAAGTGCATTTTAAATATCTTTTCAGCTAAGGCAAAAAGTTATAATTTTTTCTGCTCTACCCCTTTTACACTTATATGAAATGCTTCTATTTGATTAAAAAAACCAAAGAAATTTTGTCGGAAATTTTTTTCTTTCTGGCCCCCTCTAGAATTTATTCGCCACGACGCCTCTACTGTAATTTCTGCAGCCTAGAATTTCAACACAGACTGAAAAATGTTGGCACAGGGAAAAATAAACTCTACATGTGCCAGAAATCTGTGTTTATCTTATTATTTTAGTAAAATTTCACTAGCCCAAAAAAGAATTATCACTCTTGAAGGGTAAACAAATCAAAATGAAGAAAAATGTTTCTAATCATATGCAGTCAAAACAGGAATTTGTATGAGCAAAGGTAGACATAAAAGAAGTTTATAACTTTAGCAGTAGGAATTTGCCTTGTTTGTTTAAACTTTAGCCAAGATACCTTTCTGTGTTGAGATGGGAGCCCAGCTGCGAAAGAAAAATCATTAATTACCTCTAACTTTAAATTATCGTCTAATTGCAAGCTATCGGTATAATCTGGTTCTGTATAATTTTGCGATTTGTTTATCCCTTGGGCTGAATTGCTTTTAGAACTTTGCCGCATTTTGTCATTTCTTCTCAGCAATTTTTGCTTCTTCTGTTCTTGTAATAGTTCAAACTGTTGCCTCAAATCAGCCGCCATTTTGACAATTTGTGTATCTCTATCTGAGCCTCTTTTTCATTTGATTATAGTTGTTTACCCCTGTCGCCAAGAGAATCCAACCGCAGACTTGAATCACACAGCATACGAATGTCGCCGTACCAAGGAGCTTGACACCTTTCATGATGAAATAAAATAATTGCTAAAGTAACAGACCCGTGGAGTTTTAAAATCACCAAATTTAAAAGGCAATTTGTATTTTTGAAAGGCGATGCCTACTATCACTGAAAGTGAAACTGCAAGTACAATGTATAAATAAATCTATAAACAAAGATCGAGATACAACTTTTTGTTCGGAGGGGGGGGGGGCACCCTGATAAATCAGTGTAACAACAGCCATATTATACAAAATAAATGCATTTTACTTATGCCACTTAAGATTTGTTATGCAACAGAGAGACAGCTTTTGTTACGATGCTTCAACCTTTAATGAAAGACACTCTTTGAATGCAGTTTAAAACCTTTTAAAATCCATACATTTCTTCGTTATTAATACATTCATTAAATTAATCCAGGATCGTGCTCCCATCATCAACATTGCATACTTGACTAAGTGGCCAATATTTCGAAAATTCGAAGTGATTAAATAAGAAAATAAATTGTCTCCAGAATATCTGGGATCTAATCGATTTAAACTTTATGTACAAAAATAGAGCTGTTACACAACGTGATTCAATAACGAATGATATCGACATAATTAACAATCGAGGGATAATTTGAATGCAAAACATCACTACCAAATGCCTATAAATCTTCAATAAATTGCTTCGAAATAAATTAACCGCTCCCAACTAGATACAAAAATTAACATGCTTTGCATCTTGGATGCTTTGCTGCAAAAAAACAATTGCCTTGAACGCAATGCTAAGCAAGTTGGCTTGACAATAGCCAAATTATATTGAATTATTTCCCATATGTACCAAAAGACATCACTGATGTATAGATGTATTCGAAAATGACAGATAGAGACAATCACCAATGTGGATGGTGACAAGTGTTCAAATATTGAGAGAACATTGATCGGCAAGCCTCTTTTTCCTATACGAGCAAAAGAAACTGGATAAAAATCTTTGAATAGTACAGTGATTTGTTGAAACCGTTAATCATATAAATATAAAGAAGTTTGAGCTTTTCAAGTAACCAAGCGATTCAGAGTGGAAAATAAATTTTGTAAAATGGTCACGGTTGATTTAAGATCAATAAAATGACTTATATATTAATGAAATAAATAAAACTATTCGCAAAACTCACAATATTTTATTTTGAGAATGAAATAACTTTCCAAGCGTTTTCTCAAAATGGAGCTACATTAAAAATTGGTGGTTTTATATTTCTAAACCTAAGTTCGTTGCTCCAGTGTCCTTGCCTGAGATCTGTTCTAACACAGCATGCACAGATCGATCGTTCAGGGACAGGCCCATTGTGGTCGGAATGTCCTACATTCATTATATTTAGCCTGATTGGTCCAGACTCAGCAGCACTGTTCTGTCTTCTCAAATGTTCGTAATGGTGAGCTATGGCCGGATTGAATGGGTTAGCGCATGCGCAATCAGCCTTTGAAACGGATGGTCCGTGTATTTGAAAAATGCTTTCAGTTCGGTTAAGATTTGGATTCTGCTCTTGCTTGCCCGGGTATTGTTGTTTGAAGGAACAAGGACAAGAAGGAGAACAATTTCGATCCAACGATAGTTTAGCTCGCTTCGGAGAAGGTGCTTCTTTCGGATTAATTTGTGCCGTGTACTGCGGGGGTGGTGGGAGTGATGGGAGCAATGGTTGTTGCACCATCCAAGCGTCATTCTGCGGTAATACACACTGCTTTCTGGGGCAAATTCCTACAAGCAACCAAGTTATGTCAGTGGGCATGACTGAATTCATATTGAAAATCACAATATTTGATCGCATATGTACAAATATATAAAGTCAGTCTTTCATAAAAGGATATTGTCATGATAATAAATTATTGACCTAGAAACATTCTAAATTTGTATTAAGTATTAGGCTATAGCAGACCTAAACGTTCTCATTGTATTAAGCCTAGCGCACACTAGCGATTTTTGTCGCCAGCGACGGTGATTTTTGTCGCTGGCGACTGAAAATCGCAAGTGTGCGGAGCGCAAAAACAAATTCTTGTTGATCAGCCAATCATAAAGTGTTTTCAAGGCACGTGGAAAGTGTTGTTGATTTTTAAGAAAGTTGACAAGATGGAGGTCACAGGAACATGTTTCTTCTCTTGGACAACGCATTAAGAGGATTTGTTAGTCGATTTTTGGCGCGAGAAACGCTGCCTGTACGCCATATCCTCTCGACAATACGACGGTAGGACGGCTGGAGCCGTGGCTGAGCTTGCTGATGCTCTTGGTGCAACGGGCGGGTACTACTGCTCTCAATTATTTCAAACTTTTTTGAATAAACACGAACAAGATTTCTCTCTCATTGCACTATCAAATTTGGACTTCTACTAATATAATCATAAAATCATTGGCCAAGGCAGAAAAGATCGCAAGTGTGCGGGGAAAAATATTTAGCCGCCAGCGACAAGAATCGCCGCCGCTGGCGACAAAAGTCGCTAGTGTGCGCTAGGCTTTAGTCCAAGGTTTTAACAATGTGTCATAATTCGAGTTTAAAATAAGGTGTCGCAAGTACGCCTTTGTTTGTGTCTAACTCTCTGACAGGGTTGCAGAAATGTTAGCTTTTGGGGCCCTTTGGCAACAAAGTAAGCGAGACAATTTTTCTTACCTGAACAGATTAGTAAAAGGTATAATAATATCTATTCGACTCTTTGTGCTTCTTGAAGAAAAGAAAGAAGTCGAAGTGTAAAAGAATTCGATAGTAATATTGACTTATACTATTTGCTGTGTCTCTGCGCTGCGTTGTAACTCTTTTTGTATGGAAAAAACTTATGCATGAGATTCCCAGCTTGAAGGATGATAACACTCATCAAGGAGCAGGAACTTAAATGTATAAAAAGGCTTTGACATCTCAAACCACTTCTTTATGAAAGAATACTCGACAGTTAAATAGAGACGATGATATTATCATGAGGTTTTTCACTGGCAATTAACAAGTCTACCGTGGTCTTCTTTGCTTTCTTTGCTCATTACCTTAGATCCTCCCATGATACAGTAAAAGCAAGCCAAGGAACCGAATGAATGGGTGCCACGAAAAGAAAGTAATTCAAAACTTTTGCAACAACGTGTCTCTACATGAATCCTCAACAGGCCACAAACAAGAGTCAAAATACTAAGATGAATATTTTCTGCTACTTTTTGACGCTCTTTCAGCAAAACATCTGTTCATCTTTATGTTCTTCAAAGAACATCTCTTGTCATCATGACATGTTTCTGTTTGCTTTCAAACAAATTAACTCTTTTTATAGCTGTCTCTAGGACATGCGGTTCAACATACGGAGCGGCAGTCTAAATTAAAGCTACTTTATAAAGATAATCTGGGTTTTAGAAGAAAGAGAGATGATCATTATACAATTAACAATTTGTAGAATCGACATATCGTTTTTCTTTGCAAGTCTATTTTAAAGGACCTGAGTAAAACATAACCTAATCCAATCGGAATGTAGTTAATTCTCGTTTTGTGCCTAATTTGATGTTGCCACGAGAATACGATGGCCTTCCTGGAGGCAGTTATATAAACTAAAATTCCCATGATGAATCGGACGTACATCTTCTGTTATTCATCTACTATTTAAAACTAAAATGAGGTTACATTGACACGTCGTAATCTGCTGATACGGAATGTGTAATCCTAGGTAAGTAAGGAAAATGACCAGTGACTATCTGCGGAGGCTAGAAACAATTACATGCTAAGATCTAGGAAGAGTGTCAATATAGAAGCTTGTATTTTTGTGGACTTGTATGGAGGTGCCAGGACAGATGATGACGAGGGCAGGATTAAAACGAGGTGACGCGATTAACCGATACGTTACTGCTATTTCCGTTGCAACACAGAGATCAAGCCAATTGGGTCGCTTGGCAATACAAAGCAATTTTGTCGATGGACTGAAGAACGTAAGGGTCAGAAACCCCATTAAGAGAGGAAGGAGGCTTTTTCATTGAAATGATTATTCAGAGAGAATCCGTGGAACGCCGAGTCTGCTCTGTGGTTCATGGGAAACGGTGACATGCGAAAAAGTTCCTGAAATAAGGACTGCAGATTGGAACCAGTCAGAGAAAAAAAATGTTGAAAATGTGGAACGCGGCATGGCGCCGAGAACAAACGACAACAAATACATTAATGATTGCTATAATTATAGAGAAACGAAAGCCGGGAATGAAGTGAGTAAGCTAGGTTAAAAGTGCTTCTCTGATACCAGTGTCAGTAAAGAACCAGTGTCAGTAAAGGAACCAGCCTTCCGAAGAAAGGGATTGAAAATGTGCGAGCATTATGGTCTAAGATGACGTCAGATGGTCCTGGAAAACATCAACTAGCCCATTTCTAGAGCAGCCCTTTTCAAACTTGCACCATAATAATATGCTTGCACAGAATTGATAAATGATTAATCGCTTAACTAGGGGATGAACCGTGGAACTGCAGCTGTCCAGAACCAGACTTTAGAAAACGTTCTTCTTTTTCATTTTTATTTTGTTTTACATTCTATTTCTCTAGGAGTAGAAATTTCTAAGTTTCAACGCTTTTCCATATCAAACTAGAACAGAGGTTAGAAAATACCGATTATGAAAGCTAGAAATAACAGCAATTGATGTTTTTCAAAGCCACCATGTTTGATAAGCTTTGACACAACTATTTGATAAGAGTGCAAGGTCGTCTCTCACATTGAAAACGCCCTTCATCGAAAGGCTGTAGCTATTTCTTAAGCTTCCATGTTCCATGTTTTATGCACTGCAATGTTTATGGTTTGTGGTTGAAGCTATTTTTCTCAGAGCAAGGTCTGGTAGTTCAGTGCCGCCATTGGCAAAAACTGTTGATGGATTTTGAAATAATATCACGTCTCACACCTGAAAAGTGTTAATCCAAAGGTTTGGTTATCTTCTAAAATCTCATTATCGCTTCTATATTGGCTGGTTGCTGGTTACATATACGGTTATTAATCCAAGATTGCTATGGATCTAGTGAACTATTCACTTCAGCAAAGATGAATTTGCAGTTGGGTGGTTTTATCTGTCAACTTTTGAAAATACGTTATACCACAGGCGTCGATAGTTTCAAAAAATTAGAAATAGTTTATGAGAAATATGTTTCTCTACAAGGAGTCCTTATGAAACAAGGACATTTTACTGATATTATGCTTTGGTGAAATATTGTTTATAAGAGTCAGCACAATCAAGATACTTCTATGGAAATTTATTCTATGCTGCATTGGATGATTCAGGACTGAATCAAGTTGTTATTTTTGAAACATAAAATGCAGAAATAACTGTAACAGCAAGCATCAGCTTTCTAACATTGGCAATGCATAACATCTCAATAAATCAATAATCTGCAAACGTTTTCTTTTCCTTTACGTTATTCATTTTACCTAAATGCTTTTCCTTTTTGTCTGAGTCTCCAGACCATTTCTTAGGAGCAGGTAGCACAAAAATGCATAGAAGATTCTCACCTGACGGCATATGCAAACTTGCTAGGTTTGGTCCAAAGGAAATGTCACCTCCAAGCATACCATAATGCATTGCGTTCATTAGTCGTGCTCTGGAAACCAGGAAATTATACATTATTATTCTCAACCTTCTTCATACCAAGTTATTAGTAATGATTGCATAAATGTCATAAATGTCATCGGTTTCTATATGATTTGACGTTATCATAATTTGATTGAATGGTGCTATGTGTAATTAAGCATCAGAGCAGTAGAGCACTTTGATGACATATAATCAAAATTGATGACAATTTGATGTCTTGCTAGATGTCTAAATCTTATTCATAAATTGTCTCCAATTCTTCTTTGATCCATCTTATTCAGGTTGGTTTTTGAAAAAAAGTCCAGGTTAGAGACAGTGAAAGCTACCTCACAGATGAAATTGCAATATTGGTATAAATATTATCTTTTAGATGTGCAGTGCAAAAGGTTTTGTTTTCCTATTTAGTTATTCAAATTACCATGGATTACTGTGACCGTGGATAGAATGTGCTTTAAACTAGGTTCCATACCTTTCTAAATCACTTGGGCTTGGGTCTCTGAAACCTTTCGCAAAAGGATTGTTATCGATTTTCAGCTGCGTTATCTGAAGTAGAAAGAGGATGCCTATTGACTTATATTGTCAACTGGTAAAAGCTAACAGAGATCTTCTATGTAGCATACCCCTATAACGCATACATGAAGTATCTCTAGTTTCGAGAGATTCAAGTTGCGACTTTTAGGTTCCAACTTCAGATTGTAAGAAATTTTAATTTTTTTCTGTAGAATTTTTTTAATTTGATAAAATAAATAGCAAACCCATGATCGTTCAATCGTAGAATCTCAGAAAAAAATACTCCGCATTTAATGTTTTGAGAGAACATAGAGTACGATCAGATAAATGCTCACAAAGCACCAATACTTTGTGTAATTTTCAAATCTTTGATGATTTTAGTGGCTTTTATTAATTCAATGGGGAAGACATTAATACTGAAAAGCCACAAGCAGACAAATACCAATTAGAACAATAATTTAAAATTATGAAAAGTAGAAAGTGGGCAGGGCCTAGCCGTCGTCAAGCAAACCAAATCCCAAACGTGCAACCGTCACATAATATTTTGATCTATGTGCCGGAAACCCAAAGTTCACTTTTATCATCACCTTCTGCCGACAACTGGGGCCTAAATTTGACCGCAAAGCATTGACTGCCTACAGTTTTTCAAAATGGCGACAACATGTTGCCATCAAACGCATGATGAGCTATCCTTCGCATTGTGTCGACAATAGCAATATCATGCAAATTGGACTACTTCAAAAACTACTTTTGCTAGCTCGGGAAAGACTTATGGTAAACCTACCACAGCAACAAGAAGATGAGATATAAAAATAGAAGAAACTATGAAACTTAAGATTGCTGTTAATCTGCACCCTCCAATTCTAAGAGCAATTCTAATATTCTATCAAGTTATAAAGGAGGTGATAAGATTTCGGACGCTCCACCAATTATTTAAAGAAAGAGGTCCTTTGACAGATTATTTACAGCAACACTATTTTTTCTTGTAAAGGCGTCGAAATTTACACTGTTTCATTCAAAGAAGTTTGCCAAAACCATCTCATATCAAAAAAGACATTGATAGCAAAGTTGAAATGCGAGATTTCAATCAAATGCCAGAAAACACGACAGCAGACTTCATTCTCTACATCCAAGGAAAGAAGCCAGGACAAAACTATGCCAAAAGTTTTTTCTTCATAACTGATACTTATTTTGCAGAAGACGTGTAAGCTTAAAAGCTTTTTAAGGGAACATTCAAAGGAGGCAAATGATATAAATTGATTAGATCTGATGAACTCGGCGATCCCTGCTAAAATTAGTGTCTGTAATCAGGTACATTTGTAGGACATTCAGATAATCATTTGTCTTCTTTTGTGTGTGCTATCGACAAACTAAGATCTTTGATCTCATTTATTTGACCTTTTTTCCATACAAGGTATCTAGCCCTTAACCTTATTCATGACTCAAATGACCCAGTGAGTGAGAATCGAAGAGCCCGAGCCAGTAAGAGTTTGCCCGCGTGTCTGCAAGCGTTTGCCCGCGTGTCTGCAAGCGTGTCCGCCTTCATTTCTGCCCATAGTGACGGTTGGCAAACTGAGTCCTTGGCTTCAAAGCTCTTAAACCTAAATTGCATTCATATTTACAGTTTTGTTTAACCTAAAAGCTCGTCTGAATCATCAATGCTGCCAAATTATCACCATATAAATAGAGTCCATAAAATAATCGTAGTTAAATGTACGTTCCATAGCTGCAAGATTTTTATGATTAAACCGTAGTTTTGCTCTACGTGCATCTATATGCTTTTGGTTTCACCTTTCAATCCTTGCATAGGGACGTTGAGAAGCTAAATGCTTTATAAATTCATAAAAATCTTGGTTATCAGAAGTTATAAATTAGACCGATTCGTTTCCCATAAATTCTTGGCTCTGTTTACGAGAGTTGTTTTCGGATAAACTCACCTTACCTGGTGACAAAGTCTAACTGGTTCTCTGAATGTACTTTTAGACATTGTATAATAAGACAAAATCGCATCAGCAGAAATAGAGGTTTACCTGTTCACTTTGGTATGCAGTTACTGCCATAAATGTTGTCTCGGGGAATAAAAACGTCATTGCATCTTTTTCAGTAATGCCATCGAGACTTGGTGCCTGTACGATGTGAATTCGAGGCTGATACTTGTGCAAAGAGTTAAGGACAATCTAGAATAAAGATGATTTAGTGAAAAAACTTTCAAGATTGTCCAAGAAGAAATTAGAGGATTGAAAAAATTAAGGAAGTACCTAGTTGTAAGGAAGATAACCTTGTGATTATTTTCTTTAATGACTGTGAAATCACAAAAGAAATAAATGACATTCTGCTAAGTGCTCTCTGCAACACAATTAGTAGCGTTTGCTTCCAATTTTGAATATGCTGAAACGTGGCTAAAGGTAAAATTTGCTTTGATCATTAGCAAAAAGGTATCATATAGCTGAATCAAATGGATCCTCAGATATTGTCGTCTATTTGAAAGTTTCTTATGTAATACACTAATTTTGTCTGTCAGGTTCGATGCTTCTACTATAGAGACAAAGACCTACTTCAGTTTATAAAGCAAATGCAAAAAGTCAGGACACTCACGTGGCCACTTTTACAATCGCTAGAATTATTTGTGATTTTGACTTTGTGGAAAGAAATGACAGATGACATCCATTTGGCACCATTTGCCGGTGATTCAGAGTGAACATGGATGCGCTTCGAACGTGGCACGTCAGGATATGCTTTACCAGTAACTAGCCATTCTGATTCATGATACTTATACCTGTAGCTGTCAGCTGGTACTGTGTCCATCATGATGCTATATCGCAGGGAAGCGTCAAGACCACTAACCGTGAACTTCATTGCCGGGAACATTCGCCTGCAAAAAAGTGCCGTTAGTTAAACCTGTCCTTGTCATTTGGTCAATAAGATTGTAAACCTGTCTCTGATGACAAAGGGGACCGAAACTTGAGCTTATCAAAAACTACCAAAATCATCGAAAACAACAGTAAACTACCATTGGTAGAACAGTATAGCGCCTTAGATTGATCTTTGATAGAAAATGCAGTAAAAGTTCGATATAGCGATACGGTTTGATATAACGATAAAACGTAACAGATGTAACGAATTTGTCTTTATCAACTATTACTATTTGCATCAACGTTTGAAAAATAAACAACTTTGTTTTCCTTTGACGTTTCGACCGGGATATAGTCAATTTAAATTAATGTTGGTTGTAATCTACTACTAGGTACTAGTTTATCGTCGTAAAGCTTCCCCATATCACGGCTAACATACGTAAATGTGCATTTGTGGCTCTCAGTCTCGGCCGAAGACAATATGTAATTATACAGTATGCGTATGCTCAAAGTAAGAAAGCTACAGTTGGTGCTGACTTAAGTGTTGGCTTTTATAAAATGCGCGCATGAAAAAACTTTCAGTAGAAAGAGACTGGAATCAGCGAAGTTGGAAGCAAAAAACCTCACCATTATCAACTTACTTGAGTAAAGTAACCATAATCTACTTGAACGGCACCAGAATTTACTTTAACATTGGAATGGGTTAGGCCTAACATTATGCATTCTATATTACTCCTTGTTGCAATAAAACACATCCGATCTTAAGTCATGATTGTTTATGTAGAGTAAATTATAAAAACTAAGTAGCCTTATAATGCGAGACCCTGTGTGATATCTAATGACTTTAAATGTGATAGATTATAGCAAGATTTTGTTAGGAAGTAAGCAATTGTGCAACACTGCCGCGTTTTTTAACCATCAAAAGCAGTATAGTATAGTAATGAGAGGTTTGACAACTTATAAACCGAGTAAGAAAGAAACTTATAAATACCTTCCAGACTTTGTGATAACCATTTCAGTACCAACGTCATAGAATAGTTCCCACAATCCTCTGTTTTCCAGTGTCACTGTAACTTGACTATGGTTCGAGTCTGGCTGCGTCAACTGCGCTACTCCATGTCTCCCAATGGCGATTCGCTTCAATTCGCCACACTTTCGCTTCAAAGGTGTGGTATTCTTCTTCCCTATCGAATCGTCAGACAGGATAGAACTGATGCTGAATGAATTTACCTTTGTAGATGCTTTGTTGACTTCAAACTCTTCCTGCATCTTTAATGGGCTAGAAAGAAAGGTACCCTTTTGAAAAACCTAGTTTAACAAAAAAAGTGATAAAAGTTATACCAAGCTGCCTTGAGTGTCACGTAACCATCGTTTTTCTTATATACAGTAGAGTTGTCTTAAACAGTGGATCCAAAGCGATGTTAAAACAAACAACGAAAGATTCTATATAAAATTGAAAACTAGTGACATCGAAATTCAAGGCTGTAGATTACAAATTTCGATGTCTTAAAAGTTGCCTGTTTGCAAATGAGGCTTTTACAGCAAGAAAAGCAAAAGGAGTCTTTTTGCTTGACAGCAAAATGCAATTTCTTTACAAAGTTACATCAGACGCGTTTCTATTGTACATTTTAATAGGAAGATGGTAACTTGTACGTTCGAAAGCAGTTTTGTAACAAGCACCTTCATGTTATTGCACCTTCCGATACTTTCAAAAGGTATTTTTAGCATGCCTTTACAACTTAAGGTTGTTACAATCTAAATTACCAGGAGTTTCCACGAAACTTTTTGCATACTCCCTGAAATACAATTCGATGTTCATTTTCTCCATTTTTCTTTCGCTTGGTTGCTTAAGGATGAGCTCCAAGTCGCAATGAGATTGCTTTTGGTGAGATGTAATTCAATATTCTTCCTTTCATGTTAATGACAGCGTAGAGGAGAAATCCTTTCATGAAAAACTAAACGAGTACTTCCCCTAATGTAATAAATCTGCAGACTGCAGTAAAGCCTGAAAGTTTTAAAATGACTTTTATCATCAAGTAGGCATTATTAAAGCCACTTGGTGGTAACCAATTTAGCATTGGTATGAAAAACAATAATAGCATACAAAATACGTGAAATTCATCTTAAGTTGGTTCTAGCCGTGCTTATTACATACTTAAGTAGCAAGCTGTTTGAAAACAAGTATTATAAGGAAATATAAGGTTTATGAATGTCGTTAAACGAAAGTTGACCACATTTTGCAAAAAGTCTACCAGTCAAACAGAGACTCCTTGAATTGTTTTGGTTTAGTAATTTCCATTGTGGTTAAAGATAGGAATGGAGAAAACCAGGTACCACGAGTCAGCATTGTCGTCTTCAAGGGATGGAACTTCCTACACCATCGACGTGTAGCTTGAGCCATCACCAAACCGTTGGATTATACAGTAGCAACCAAATTTCAATATGCAATATTCATAAAATATCATATTGAAAACAACTGTGGGTTTTGAAAAAGGCTCAGCAAAACGAACATAGTTGCTGCACAAAAGAAAGCAGTGTACTCGTTTGAAGTAAAGTGTAATACCTGGTTAGAGTTGACAGAGTTCCTGTGTACAACGTTGACAGTTGGAGCTGACAGAGTCCTTTTTCCTGAAATCAACGATTTGAGGCAAGCAGCCAAGCTGTGAGTATTTTGAACAATATGCGTTACCCTTAACTGGTTGTACTCTAGCACGATCAAGCTCTACAATTTTTTGCCAACACTGTCACCATAATAGTTCCTTTATTTAAGAGACTGGTACCTAGTTATGATGCAAAGATTGGGTTTTGCAAAGACAATTCATTGACACTAACAGTCCATGATCAGACGTGTTATTCACACATGCCAGCCCGTCGCGGCTGCCAATTAGGTGTGCATGGCGTCTGTGAATTCTACGATTCGGCGCCGTTGATAATTTCTGTTCGTATACTCTCTATAACCGGGGGAGTGTGCTCATAAATTGCGGGCATGGGCAAATTTACAAGTAACACCCTATGGTGCAAGTAGATAGAGACCATGAAGAGATATCTGTCGCTGCATATGTTGATCCACTTGTAGTTTTTCTGGCATGTTAAATATGTATAGGTGTTCTTGCCATAATTTAAGACATAATCAGTTTGAATTTTTGCTACAGTGATGATTTTTATTCCCCATTATATTCATCAGTCCTCGTAGCTTCTTAACTTTCAGTGAATTCAGTTACAAGACCCAGACCTTATGCAAGCATTTAATTGAATGGCATAAACGCGTCCAAAAATAAATTAATAAAGTTATGTGTACCTAAAAACATAACCATTAGACGTTTTATGCTAATAAGACGTTTATCATATTGTTTTATATGGCTTAAAAACATTAACATCAACATACATTAGCCAATAAGACGTTTTGTGCAATTGCAAATCCCAGTAATTTTTAAAAACACAAATGCGAAAATTTGTTAATTCAATATGATAAGCCCCAACCTACAGCCTTGAGGTAAAGTTATGGAAAAATTAAGAGAATATGTGTGGTCACTAGATATTTAGAAATCTAAAGTAGCATATTTGGAAAGTATTAAGAAGAATTTTTATTTTTTAATATAATATACATATTCCAGCTAAAGGGGTTGGATAGGCAACTTTTAATCTCTGTCACGATCTCGAAATCAGCTGATCTTGAGAAGAAAAGCAAACAGCGCAAACCTGTCTTTAGTCAGATCACATGTAAAATCTCCTGAGATAAAGTTTAATACTATCTTTTGCATCACTGAATATGTTAAAGCAGCTGCTGTAACAATCACGATTGCTTTTCTATATATGACGAGAAAACAATGCTTTAAGGTACTTGTTAAGCTTTTCCCAATGTATAAAACTTAACAAGTCTCTCTCCTTCCTTTCGTGCCTAAATTAAGTACAGGGAAACATCACGATAAGGAATCTTCACGCCATTAATGGCCACTGGATGCTGAATTTCATGAGTTTAATAGGCTGCCTTGTTGACAGATATTTATCCAATTTATAGCTTTTAAGATTATTTATCTTTAGGTGGATTACGCAATGAATGGAAGAAGTTTTTAATCCACGATTTCAACGCATCTAGGATAGATGCATATCAAAGCAACTTACAGTATCAGACGAACAGGGGTTTGGATTTGGTGAGGGGGGGGGGGCGATGTTTTTATCAATCTTGATATCAATAAGTTGGGGTGTAGAAATCGGATAATACTAAAATCGTTTTCAAGTAATGCTGAATCTGGAGGTCTAAATTTGAAGCTGTAAGTTAGAAATTTAATCTCATCTCATAAAACAATATTGAGGACTGTGTAATTGTAAAAACGATTGCTATTTTTTGCTTAAAAGGCATGAAAATTTTACCATTCGCTTAATCAATAACAAAACATTACGCTCCTATAAAAATACAACTTTCAGGTTTGAGACATATATTGACGTCCTTCCAGATTTCAGAGCTTGAAGTCTTTTCTGTAAGGTTAGGCTCAGCTTTTACAACTTACATATTGAAACAGGTAGATACGAGAAAGACCTCAAGGCAAGAAAACAGTGTGTGGCTTTTTCCTTTAAGTCTAACTCTAAAGTTCGCGTTGAGAGTGAATTCCATTGCTCTATGCTCTAGGTAGATTTGTTATTGTTATTTTGTATTTTACTATTTTCTGTTTATTGTAAAATTCTATCTATAGGACATCTCGCCTTAGATGTGAGATAAAATCAAATAAATCAGCAGAATGAAAGTTCGGGATGGAAACTATGAACGTATAGAATGAATTGTTACTTGTCAGCCGAGTTAGCAATTTAGCCATAGTGATAAATATAGACAGTAGTGTAGTGTATCTTTAAGTGTGAAGTACCCTAATATGATAGCAAGTAATAAAGAGGTAACTGGAAAACCTTTCGCTCTAGAGAGAGAGA